TTCAGCATACTGTAATATTTCTAGTATTTGAAGTTATAGGGTAGTTACTAGCACTTCACTAGCTACACTGATGAGCATCTGTAGTGATAATCATAGTACCTTTAAAACAAGCAACAAATGTTAGTAAAGCAGGATTTAATGAATACATCAAATTGCGGTAGAACTCGTCAGCTGAATACTCTACTCTGCTCTACATACATGCATAAATAAATATATATATATACACTTTTGAAATTACATTGGGAGATATAAGACTGATAAGAAAATAAACTATATTGAATTAGTCATGCAGAAAGACAGGTGCGAATGTTTTCCAAGTCATGCTCAAATAGATAAAGGTAGAAGAAGTATGAGAGATTAAAATTAGGATAAAATGCATTATACTTCAAATACATCACTTAGATAAACAATTAGTCATTAGAGAATATGACAAGAATTGCATACAGAGCAATATCAATAGTAATGGTTATAATAACAATAATAATAATAGTGTTGAAGTGAGTTAAGATAATCCTACTGATAAAGGACAGTTTTAAATGAATCGAGAATAATAATAATGATAGTAATAAGAAGAAGAAGAGGTAGAATAATAAGTAGAACGTATTACCGTGGTAGATTCACAGTCACGACCATCTCCTTTTGTACACAAAGACCTGGTTTATTTTATTTTATTTATTTATTTTATTTTGATTGCAGCTTGATGCCACATCGTATTTTTAGTACAAGTATGGAATTTTCAGCATGGATATCGGTAACCCAAATTTTGCAGGCCGACCATAGATATCAGGTGTGCATCGGCAGGGGATCGAACCCCGGACCATGTGCATGGTCTGCGAGAGTCCTAACCACTGTGCCACCGACGCACAAACCTCTGCAATTGCAAGCATCTTCTTGTTTCTTTGTCTGCTGACAACAGTGAATGACTTGACCACGTCGATATCATGTCCGTAGTCCACAAGATGTTTTGTTATCGAGGATTTTGGCAGTTTGCACTGAGCTGTTTTCTACCATTTTGGCAAATGCCCCATCATGCGAGTAGATAATCGCCTTTCCGTACGACCTATGTATTTGTTACCACAAACACACTCAAATTGATATACGCAGTTTGAAGTGTCGAGGATTGGGGACTGGTCTTTCCCAGATTATCGAAGCACTCGCTTAGTGGTGTTAAGTAAACAAGTTTTCCAGCATAATAAGTTCTCTTGATAGCTTTATCGAGTTTTCGTTTGACTACTTCCTGTACATCATCTCCTTTGAACGGCAAATTGATATAGACAGATTTCTTCGGAACTATTTGAATTGTTTCGCATGGGCTAATTTCTTTAGAGCATTTATTAATCAACTTCTCAGGATATCCATTCGTAGATAGAATATCCTTCAGAGCTTTTATTTCACGCTCAATTGTACTGTCAGAACAAATTTTCCACGCTCTATTAAACAGTGTTCTAAGTTCTTTTTATATTGAATTGGAACAAAGCTCTTGAAATGCATGTACTGTCCTATCCATGAAGACTTTCTAAATATAGATCTTTTGATTGCGCCATCAGTCATTTTCACTAGAAAACGTCTAGGAATTTAATAGTATGATTTTCCTCGTGTTCTATTGTGAAATTGAGAATCAGGTGGCATGAGTTGAATTTTATCAACATGTCTTCGGCTTTTGGTCTGCTTCCATAGACAATAAAAATGTAATCAACATATCTTAGGTATACATCCGTTTCTTGTATATGTTGCTGCAAGGTACCGGTTTCTAGGCCTGACAAGAATAAGTCTGCGAAAAGTGGTCCCAAAGGCTTCCCATTGCGACACCATCAACTTGACGGAATAGACGCCCGTCGAATTGGAATTGGACATTTTTAGTACATAAAAGTAACAATTTCCTCAATCCCGATGTTGGAATGGGTATGTCTTCAGCTTCTTTACATATGAAGTCAATAGTCTCAACGACTGGCACATTTGTGAAGAGGGAGGTAACATCGAAAGAGACCAGATGCTTATCAGATACATTGAAATCTCTAATTTGCTTGACAAACTGAAATGAATCAGAGACTATATACGTTCGGAAACGTTTTCGCAAGGGCTGCAACAATTCACAAAGCAACTGTGCTAATTTGTGGTATGGTGAGTTTATCATAGAGAGTATAGGTCTTAACGGCGCTCCTGGTTTGTGTATTTTTACGCGTCCGTATAATTTTGGGATTTGTGACCCGATCAGTTTGATAATCCTAAATGTATTTACATCTTTTTGAAGAGTTGCTGTAGATGCTGCACAATTTTCGTTTCGGTCGATAACGTTTGATCTTTTGCATGATTATCCAATTTGAATGTAGATTCATCAGAGAGAATTTGATGCATTTTCTCGAGATAATCTATCTTATTCATTGGCACTACACTTTGTCCTATATCAGCTCGTAAAATAACAAGATTATTGTCTTTTCGGAGATTGTTTAGAGATCTCCAGTGTTCTTTGGTGATATGCGACTTTTGATTGGCCGGCATGGTTCGAAATTGATGAGCAATATCAACCATCTTTGATTTCAAGCAGCTTTCGCTTTCATTGGACGTAGCATGTAGCCCCATAAGTTGGTCATGAAGATTTTAGATTTGACATTCGATATCAATTTGCTTTATCTTTTTCATGGGAACACAGAAGTTGAATCCCAATGACAGAATTTCTGCTTGTTCTTTTGATAGGGAAACATCAGATAAGTTGTGAACATAATTAGATATATCCACTGGGAAAATGTCATATGGCGGTTCCGGAAAATGTACTTTTGAATGTTCGGATGTATTATCTTCACTTCTTTCTCAACATTTCTGCACATTTTTATATAAAATTAATTGTTGGTGTACGCTATTGCCTAATACTAACTGAACAAAATAATCTAAGTTATAAAATGCCATTAGGTGTTTATGCAGTCGAATACGTTAGTTAAACAAGTTGTTATGACATGAATTGAACCTAATCTAAGTTAATTTAAACATTGCTATAAATGCGTCAACATAATGAAATATAAGGATGGGACACAGTAGCACCATCAAAAAAATAGGTGGAGAAGAAGGTCAGTCATGAAGTATCTACAGAATCGAACTTAAGACGTGCAACCGGAGTTACACAAAATTCATCCTTGATATATTTAAGATTTTACTATTACCGAAATTGAAGAAAGTGAGAAAGCAGTAATAAATAGAAAAAATAATTGAAAAAGCCATACAATTACCTTGAATGAGATTATGACCAATAAAATGTTCTGTAAAGATCATCCAGTTACTAGCACTGTATCAATTTGTGTTATACCAAATAAGCTTGTTTATTTTGGCATTGCACTCTGTCACAGCATTTAGGTTTCATTTTCGTTCCACATTTTTTTCGCATCTTCTAGCTATTATGATATTTTTCTTACCTGCTCTGTCGTTGGTGAGATAGTTCTAAAAAGGTATACCTCACATAAATATATCATTACTTTTTACAATTTCTTCATAAGGTGGGAGCTACTAGCCAGGCGACCGAACAACTTCAGTTATTTGCAAGTAATCCTCATGTTTCGCTTATCGATCAGGAAGTTCGTCAACGTGATGCTGCAATTCGACGAGTAGAATCAACTATCGTTCAACTTGGGGAAATTTATCAGCAATTCTCTAGTTTAGTTCAAGAACAGGGTGATCTGGTATTACGAATAGACAGTCAAACCGATGATATGGAAATGAATATTAGTGAGGCACATGCACAGTTGCTGGTGTTTATGCGACGAATTTCTGCACAAAGAGGATTTCTTATTAAGGTTTTTGTAACTATTATAATATGTTTCGTTGTATTTGCATGGATTATGAGGTAAATTTACTTTCATCCTTTCTATATTGTACCTTGAAGTCTTTCAGTAATTTTCAATTTTGTAAACTGTTGGGCTTTCACTTTCTACAAATTATTTCTCCTACATATGGACAATCCATTAGTACTTTAATTTTTAAGTATTATTATTAGTTCGTCAGTGAATTTTGTCGAGGATTTTGTACATAACTAATTTCCGATAAAAAGATGTTAATTAAGAAATACATATTCTTCCTCATGATTTTCATTTTCAAAATGTTTTTTCAGTTTTTCATACCCTTGTAGATGTCTGAATGTACAGCTGTTATAGATCATATCGATAGCAGCAAAAAAGATGTTAATGATGAAAATATTCGCTTACCTTCAAAACGTCACTATCGTCAACGAGCTCACTGTAATCCTTGGTCAGATCATACACTTGATTATCCTCTGAAACCAGAATTAATGGATTGGGAAACGTTATTTGGAGATTGTCGAAATTCTTTGTCGCTAGTGAATACTGGTTCTTTTGATCCCCTCGTACGTTTTTTGGATGTAGGTTGTGGATATGGTGGACTTTTGTTTAATTTATCTACCTCTTATCCATTTACGCGGAGTGTTGGATTAGAAATACGCTTGAAAGTCTGTGACTTTGTTCAGGTAAGTTGCATAACATACTGTTTATCGAATAAATACTAATAATAGTATCTACTTTATGAAAAAGAATATCGTGTATTGTTTTGTATTATTGAGTAAACTGTAGCTTTTGATTTACTTATTCCCTTCGTAGTATATGGTAAACTTTTGGATATCGTAGTGACTGTTAGTTGCTTTAAGCTGCTCAATACAAGTGGGAAACAGTCCAACTTCATGTCTTAATAACGACAAAGTTTCGTCTGTGTACACAACCAAAGTACTACGAAAAAATCCGAATACTTATTATTTTTTTGATTGTTGATTAGATAAAATCTACCGTGATCACTTATGAACTCTGCCTTGCTCCTCAGTATTTTCGGACTATCCTATATTTGGCTTAGTAAGAATCTTTCTAATATTGCACGTGGATGGAGTTGTTTCCTGTATAGACTACAATCTGTAGGGAATGTTTCATGAACATTTTTGTATACTATAAGGTTATCAGTTAAAAATGCTTGGTAGCTCCACTGGCTAAGATAATCAGTCAGTAAGGACTGTGTTAGGAAGTCTACTCGTTGCTAAAATCCTCTGTTATAGATTCTACCACTGTTGAGTACTATTTCACAAAATAAAAAGAACACTTCATGCTAACCAAAGAATTTTCATTTGTCCTATATACTAAAAATCTCTCCTAGTCTACTAACCGGTTTTAAGCCTTGGAAAAGCGGGAAGGGGCTAGGGAACCTACCTCGAAAAATAAACCAATTCTCTACACAAACTTCAAAACACCACAAAAATATAGAAAATAAACTTATTCTTCTCTTGAACCGGAGAGACGGAATGACATAGTTTGTTAAAAGCCTTCGGGAAGTCAGTTCATCATCTAACAGAGCATAGAATGTCAGTCAAATCCCTACTTCAATTTCTTCGACTTTGAGATAGACCTCAGCAGCGTTGACTGCGAAGTGATTCGGAAACTATTTCAACACTACAGAGTGCAATGCCCCCAATCTTTATCAACATCATTCAACAGCTTTGATTGCCATGTGTCATATTGTCCATGATGGGAAACTCAGCGAGGCGTCTGAAGTGAGGATAGGAGTAAGACAAGGCTGCCAATTTTCACTGATGTTATTCGTGTTTGTGGTGGGCTGAATCATTTGGAGACCACAGGGTGCGAGAAGATAGGACTACGTTGTACCTATGGGAAGGCTAAGAGATATGGACTTCGCAAGTGATTCATGTTTAGTGTCTCAGAAACGGAAAGGTCTGCAGGCGAAAACCAGCAAGTTGACAGAATAAGCAGCGAAGACAGGACTTTAAGTGAACGTAGAGAAGATAGGGATGATAAAGATACCTAACCGACAACAATAAGCACCAATCAAATTTGAAGGTCATTACACTTATCTAGGCAGAATCGTTTCGACTACAGGCGGCAGGGAAGAAGATGCTAAAGCTAGCCAGGATTTAAAAGGCAAGACTCACCTTTATTAATTTGAAATCAGTTGTACTTAACGCAAAGATCAAGCTTTGGACTTTCAACACCAGTGTTACTTCATTCAGTCAGTTCTTCTATTTGGGTGAGAAACTTGCAGTGCGCGTCATGGAAAGCATTTTGAACAGGCCACCGTAGACTTTTAACAACAGCTGCCTTCTCTGGCTCCACACTGAAGATCAGATGGCCTGTCAGGAAATAACAAGAAACTCTGGGAATGAACCAATGAAGAACATATATATCGGAGGAAATGGGGACTAATTTAACACACGATTAGGGGACTGCTGGGTGATATGGCGCACCAGACCATTGGTCGAGTGGAATCCGAAGTGAAGACGATGAATTGGGCGTGGGTCGAAGATGACATGAAGGAGACCGTGTAAGGAGGGGATGGCATTCTCATTGGAATCGTGGAGAACTACAGGGAACAGGACAAAGTGGAGATGTCCTGTTGAAGCCCTATGTCCTATTCAGAACCTAATAAGTACCACAGTCCTCAAATATTCATGTTTAACCTTTGAGTCAAAAGTGAATATACAGCTTTCCTAATCTTGACTTAAAATATCGAATACCTCTTATTCTTATTATACTACTTATATCCTACTGACGTATATTTAACTGCCTGTTATTCAAATATTTGAATGGCTCAGGTCACTGATTAATTCAATTAGCCTTTCAAGTGACGTGTGAATTATTCACTGATAATACTTTATCACTGTGTAATTTTACCGATAGTGGCACAGCGGTTAGGACGCTCGCCGACCATGCACATGGTTCGGGTTTGATCCTCGGCCGACGCACTCCCTTACCTCACTAAACCAGAAATAAAAGCTGGTAAATAGGAAAGGTTGGGCATGAGGTTAGCAGCCCCATCCTGTAAAAATAAACACTGCTACAGAATCTTCAAGCTTGAAGCCCTATATTCCACTGGGAACGTGAAGGAATAAAAAAAATGATGGGATTATTCTCTACCACAGTGCTCAAGTTCTGTCCTTATAGCGGTGGCATGTAGATATACACATCCAATCAGGGACAAGCCTTGCAAGTTAAGGTGTTCTGAGAGCTGGCTGCTAGCCAAATTGGTAGATGGTAATTTATCTCAATGTTTACGTCCTCAATATTGGTCGTGAGAAAAATATGAACAAAGACTGATTCAACAAACAACCACAGCAGACTTTGCGTAGGCGTATACTGTTAGCATATAGATGATCTGACATTCAAGAAACAGCCACAAAGAGATGAAAGATTAACTTCCAGTGAGAAACAACCAATCAGCAGACTGTGTTTTTCTGCTAACAATAATATATAATAATGTACATGAAAAGCTATAAATATGTGTTGATTTCCTTAATAAAAGATCTGTTGCCTGGCCTTCGTCTTCTGTTGTTACAAAGGGATTCAATTAGATAAAATAATTTCATTCAAAAAATACGTAGCGATGACTAAGAGGTCAGCTATGTAGGCCATATCAGTAGATCAGGGTCGATCAAGTTGTTAGAACATAGAAACTTAGCTTAGTGTTAAATTATTGATACTAGGTTGATGAATAGCTTAGAGTAAAACGCAGCAGTCGTAATGCACTTACTAACACACCCACACCATAAAGTGGGATGAATCTATAGTTCTGAAAAATAACATAGGTAGGTGGCTAGAGAAGTCGGTAACTGAATCTTTGTTCATTACATCTACGCCTAATACGTGCAATAGGAATAACGTTACGCAATGCCGGATATATGAAAGATATTTCTAACAATAAAACAATGGATAAGAAATAATGAAATTACATAAACACAGTTTGGAAATAATGTTAGTGCCTTGATTTGATTGATATGAGCAGTAAATTTCAGTTGAAACGTCATCAGTAAGTTATACTGTATGACGGTGTTTCTATCAAATAAAATTATCCCGTTATGGAATTCTTCGTTTGTATTTTTTGTGAAGACATGGTTAGTTTTTTGAGTGCCATCTATTGTTGGGAACTAGTTGAGTTGCGTTATCTTGAACAAAACAGATACTGTTGGTTGTACATTTTGCATCCTAGTTATTGTAGTCCCATGTGATTAGAAATATTCCTTTTCACTACTCTTTGTGTGACAAATTTCTGCATGAAAAGAAATATTTCATGATTCTGCTTTTAATCAAGTACATTTTTCTTTATAAACAGGAGAAACTCAATGCTCTGCGTCTGAAACATCCTGGTCAGTACAACAATATAGCTTGTATTCGTACAAATGCGATGAAGTTTTTGCCCAATTTCTTTCACCAAGTAGGTAGTGAACAAATGTGTTTAGTTTTCACAGTTGATGGTTCAGTCTACTTTTTCGCATACCGGTGTAAACAATATATTTCAATTAGTGTGTTAAGCCTAATCAGATAGGTTGATATTTTATTATTTTTTAAGCGATTATTTAATTGTAATGTCCACCTTGAATTTCTGGATATACATGTTACTTGAGGTAGTTGACATTCACTCCGTCATATCCAGGTTTTGAATATATTGCCTTCAGTATCTCTGGGCATTGAGATAGTTAAATGATTCTTAGGGCAACAGATAACACTGACGACTTCTAGTCAACGAAATAAACCCTACCAAGGTTAGCTAAAATTAAAATTTGTAGACTGTGTTTTATTGCACACTGAGTATGAATCATGTAACTGATAATCAACAGTTTCTACTTATCGAAGTAGCTGACTAATTTAACTATGAAACACTTAGCATAAGGTTACATGATTCAGATTTTCAACACCGATTTTCTATATGGGTAAGAAAGTCGGTACGAGCGTCACTGAAGACAGTTCTAACAGGCTACTGTAGTCATTTTCCAACAGCTGCCTTCGCTGGCTCCATAGTGATAATTATATGGCCGAAAAGAATTAGCATCAAGGAACTCTGGGAACGAACCAGTCATATTGGGTTTCGCTTGGTTAATTAGGTTGAAATGATTACTAGCTTAACGTTTAAACCAAGCAGCTCCAACTACGCTGTGACAGACACTGGATTTATAGCATCTGAAGGTGATTAGTCTTGTTACATACAAACCAAAGCCAAAGGTAACTACACATTCGTATGCATCACTCTCGCCTTAGTCTAGATTTATACTCTTTATGTACCTGTGTGTATGTCTTCCTTATTCTACTTTTTATTAATTTACTATTAAAAAAGTGTGTAACTTTAATTGAAACATAATATATCTTACTAAACCCCAGATACTAGACAATATTTTGCAGCATGAATTGCAGAAAATAACATCCTCAGTCTGTTTTGAATATAACTGTAATAAATTCAATTGTTTGGTGTACAAAAAATAGTTACAACTCAGCGTATACATAAACTGTTACTGATAATATTTATAATTTTAATACTTCTGATAGTTTATTTATTTCCCACAGAATTTCTTCTATCAATTTTCAAAAGTATTTGATAAACTTACTGCATCATTATTCTTGTTTTGATTTCCAGGCTCAGTTGCACAAAATATTCTTCCTCTATCCAGATCCCCACTTCAAACGTGTTAAGCATAAGTGGCGTATTATTTCTCCAACCTTGCTGGATGTTTATGCATACCTTTTGAAACCTAGTGGTAAAATATATTCAGCTACTGATGTTCCTGACCTTGGCAAATGGATTATGGATTGTTTGTCCGCACATCCTCTTTTCCGTCCAGTTTGTCTTATTCATCTCCGTCCTCAGAACAAAGATACGAAAAATTCAAGTGAACTATTGAAGTTATCTGCTGACTCAAATGTATTTAAAAGCAGTCCTTATTTTATCAACGACTCTGATGTATTTGAGAAAATGAAAGAATCAGACCCAATCCTAAAGTTATTGGAACAAGGTTGTACAGAAGAAGCCCACAAGGCCTGCAGAGAAGGACGTGAAACTCTTATTATTGTATATGAAAGAATTCCAAATCCACCTCTGTAAATAAAGTTTTCTTGAGTTTTAAGTCGGTAGTTCGTTCATACAAATGCTTAGAACAGGATTTTCTAGGTATACTTAATTGTGTAGGCGACGCATCTATATTTCATTTAAGTCAGGTGAGGTGGTTCAACTCTTGCTGAATAAGCAGAGGAAGGAGTAATATTAACCTTTGTGTACAGGTTTAAATTATCTAAGGGTGACAACGAGATGGATATTTTTTAAAGGGGCACTTGAGACAATAATTATTGGTTTACTTGCATATTGTGACCATCTGAATTTCACTCACAGTAAATAAAAAATCTTACGTGATTGCTTAGGAAAAATTTCGACTTTGGTATGAAGTAAGATCGGATGAACTTTATGATATAATGTGAAATAGTCAATAGGATTCGGTTTCTATTCGTGAAAGTCTGTTAAGTTATATGATAAGCAACACAGAAGTTGCATATTATAACTAATCACAGCCGTCAGTTGAATGATTTAGTCACTGATGACTAACAGTTTAATAATGTAACTCCTCGCTAAATTGGCTGTTTAATTTATAAGTATTATTTGTGAATGCCCGGTTTAATTTTATCAGGTAATCGAACTGGTTTAAATACTCTGGTGTGCTGACCGCGTTTATCACTTTCCAAAATACAACGAACTTGTGTTCATAAGATTTCCTGGCTTTGTCGTCTAAATCTACATAAAATACCTTTTACTTAAATGGATGTACATTAGTGAGGATATTATCTCTGTTCATTTTGTGGCATATTACGGGAGTCTGTTTCGAACTATATTACACCTTGTATTTGTATCCAAAAATAACCACTTTTTTTCAGATAATATTTTTGATACGACTTGGAGTTTGCATTATGTAGCGTCAGGAAAAATTCACTCTACACAAAAATTTCCGAAGTAAATAAGCAGACAGTGTCTGTGGCAATAATAACGTCATGAAAATAGGCTAACTGATCAACTATTGAAATATGATTATTGGATGTCTAAAAGAAGGTGGAGATAGTCGATAAATTCAATTTGTAACACACCCTGTCAAGGTATGAGTTGACCTTATTGAGTACCACTCAACATTCACCTAAACTAGTAGGTGAGAAAACAAGTTTCACTACTCCAAAGGAAATCAAAACTGTTGCAGTAGCCAGATTTATGGCAAATGCTTAATCACAACATGTATAATGAACGCTGCTTTCTAAAAAACAGGAGATTTACGAACAATTTACAGAACCCCTAGGCTTTCTGGCAGGAATATTTGCTCTACAGCATTGTTTTTATCCTACATAAACATGAATGACTCCAGTGACTTAATATTCCACATCTACATGGTTATTAGGTGGTGACACCCAGCGTTTTAATGGAAATGTTAAGTTGAGGTATTCGATAAAGTCCTCTGGCCGTTAGTTCCTAGTCAGTGCTCACTTCCCCGTTTTCAGCTTTCATAGTGTTTTTTGTTTTCTCGGCCAGATTGTTTCACTTCATATTGTAGTAGCCCTTCAATTACTTCCTTGAATTGCATCCTGTACGGATTTCAGAACACTTTTGAACTATCGTTGTAAATTTTCAGAGACAAATATTTCGGAGGAGTGAACAATGCTGTCGCGTGGAATATTATCATTTAATTTGCCTAAAGATTCTGAAGAAGTAAGGCAGCACTCTGGGTGTTTCATAATGTAGAAGCATTGTTGAAATCGAAATTATCATCACTTCAGTTAGTAACTGTTACTTGTCTGATATCATGCAATTTTAAATGACTTGGAAGACAAAACTCTATGCCGTAATTGATATAAGGATAAAGCTTGAGTACTGTGGTAGAGTAAATTTCCATTATGGATAAAATTTATTTTGATAACTTCACATAGTGTTATGCATTAATATTTACTGATGACATTTCGAGCATTTGTATTGTTAATACTAATATTGTTTCCGAATGTACTTTAACTTCCTTTCTGTTTCACGCATTTCCATTGAACTTTCACTGATTGTATCCATATGTCTAATCAATTTTACTCATGTATATAAACGAAGCAAGAAAGTTGTGTGTGTGTGTGTACCTTGATATGATTATGAGCAATAAATTGTGCTGTGTGGCGTAATCACTATTGTATCGTCGTATCACTGATAATGATAGGTTGTACTTGATGGTTATGAGGTATTTATAGATTTTTTTAAAGCTGAAAACAACATACTTCCGGATTTTCATCTACTGCCAGCATAAAGAACTATCAAGCCATTAAACGGGAAACCTTTTCAATTAAAATGTTTTCAAATTGTTATAAAATGGTTGTACCCCATCGGGTTAGATTTTTAGAGCCCTGGAGATAATCATTTCATCTCATCAGCAAGCATAAAACAACCGCTGTCTCCCTTGAAATTTTAAGGCACTAGTTCACCTTCCAGTGCTTTAGCGAATAAACTCATGCCTTGTGCTGTTAACAATAGCGTAGGATCCACATTTTCAGCCATACTTGCTAAATGAATTCCAATATCTTTCCCATGTAAAAGCCCGACTTTTCATTGTATTACCATGTCACACAAATAACATCAGTCTGTCGGTCAAACAGATGGAGCCACACAGTGTGGTTGTCTTAGGAGAAGTAGACTTCACCGCTATCGTAGCACCATTGCGAACACTCTGAGTGAGTAGTAATGGAGGTACATTACAAATTTTCGCCGTGTGTAGGATAGGCGGATTAATATACACGTGGAGAAGCAGTCGTATACTTTAAGAACGACTGAGATGGACACTATCACAAAACAAGTAAATTCTAAGGCCTCTACAAAACAACCTTCGAATTATTTTCTACAGTAATATAGGCTGAAATCGATAATTTGAGTAATTACATTGGTTGATGAACCTATTATTAAGGAATCATGCGAAATGCGAGGGGAAACCATCGATTTGATCGTAACATGTTTCTGTTACAAATGCATGGCTAATAATTCCTCCTACAGAAATTAGACTCATGGATACCAGAGTGACCACGTCTCGCAGTTGGCGAATTTAACACCCGGTCTATCGACTGTAGAATGTCTTAGCTGCACTGTCAGACATTTCTTTTGAACACAAGCTGATAGAATCTTCCATATAAGTGGTTTCACAAAGTAATGAGACCGCTCGTAATAACTTTCATGGATCCCTTGCCAAACATAAACTAGGTTTCCTCCCGAAGCGAAGAAACCAATTTCATCTTACTTTTTTCACTCTTGGTAAGTGCTGGTGACGAAGTGCCTATACTTAGGGTTACAAGTGTCGCCACTTCCCCAGCTAAAGTCCCTGAGAGAGTAAACAACGGGAAAGCTGATGCAAGGCTGTTATCCTTTTCTTTCATTAGCGAACTGCATTGTAAATCTGAAGCCAATGTGGAAAGGCATTCAGCAAATTAATACAATTGCAATCACGGATGACCCTATCGACTATCCCTCATAAATAAATCTGAAGACGAGGGATCTAGTTAAACGTCAACTGATGAGCTAGATCGAGTTCATCTGCGACCAGGAAGCAATATATTACAGTTTCAACCGAAGCTATTTCAGGAACTCGGAGATCAGAGAGTTAAGTTGTCATGCAGTGGGATAAATAAACATACAGTTTTCGTATACGAACCCGATGAAAAGTAGGGCCCATGGAGTTCCAAATCTGACTGAAGACAGATATATTTGAGGAAAGTAGGGGCGAAGGCGAACTAGCTATCCAAGGTTTTTCCAAAGTATTTTCCGCCACATATATTATCACTTCTGTTCACACCACAAAAGGATGAAATTAATCCTATCCTTGTCGACTGAAATTTCATATTTAGTCCTTCAGTTAACTGGACGGGAAAAATCACAGAACTGATGATCTGTACTCCAGAATCTGGCAGTTGAAGTAGCCAACCAGTTGACCACTATTTTTGAAATGACTGATCCACATGGAGTCTTACGGTATCACTGGAAGGACTCAATAATGACCCTCAAACGAAGGAGAGTATCTAGGCAAGGTCATTGAACACAATCATGGCACACTTTAAAGACATCAGGATGTTTCCCAAACTATCACGGTTTTTCGGCATGACAAGCCTCTTTACAGCAATGATATTTTAGGCTGAGTCTGCTGCACACAAAACACCCATCGATATTTTATTTCATGCTAGACTGCTCATGAAGACGGAGAAGTTTCGACTAGCCTATAATAACTGGCAAGTTTTCAGATATTGAGTAGTGATTTCACAACCGGTATTAACTAAGCTAATGGAATACATAGTATCAGTATAAGCTCCGAATTACAATAAATGTGACTAATATACTTCAAAGTATGCTGCAAAAATGGGCTGAATATATACATTTTATCCTGCGTCGTGCAACATAGTGAAATGCATTGTTGTGCAAAACTGTTAAAATTTCGCAAACACTTGTTAGCGCAGTTTATGACGTAAGCTGGGACTCACGAGATTGGCAGCGTACATATCCAAAAGAGGATATATCTCCCTAAAATATTCAGTATATGAGAAGGTAAAGCATCTCATCAAATCTCTTTGTAGAGCGATTTTTTGATCAGATTGTTTATCTTCTTATCTGTTAGTTGGTTAAGCAGACTTAAACGAAATATTAACCGGAACAAAACAAAAAAATAACCACCATTAATATTTCTGGCATCCATAAGCGTTAATTTTAATCATTAAAATTTTCCGTTACCAGTTGCTGGTTGTATCGTACGTTTTGAACAAAGGGCTCTGTTTGATCATGAACAGTGGGTGATTTGTGCACTAAATTAGGGCTGGACGTCAATTCAGCAAAATTTTGCAGGGTGTTCAGGCACCTCCATGTGGGGTGATACAGGGCTCTACCGAAGAGGCTGAAAGAATACTGTTACTGGCTCAAGTATTAGCTATCGAAAGGAGTTCCAGTATAGGAGTGAGACATGATAGGCCATGGGCTAACAGGTAAATGTTGAAGGAACTGATGCCTTCTATCTCCGTGGTCATACACGGTGTTCCGCGGCTGGAAAATGGCACTGCTTGTGCATG